ATGCATTCGGCTCTCAAAATAATCATTGTGCATATACCCACATAAGCGAATGACTGATAGTATATTAAATTTAAAAGGAGATTGAAAAGACGTATGCACCATTGAATTTTTGTTTTCTGATTAAAAAATAGTGAGAACCCATTTATCAGGGATTGGTGGCTAGAATTTGTTGGCACTCTTTCTGGGTTTGTCCCTGCCTGAGATAAATATTTCACGGGTATCACAAATTAACTGATGCAATAAAAAAATTACAGCTGAGAATTCTCTGACATGTAATTTTTCCATGTTTGGGGAAAGGCAAAAGAATTCAACTGGTTGTCTGAAGCTTCAAAGTGACACATTTTGGGAAAATTGTCATCAATTGATTCTCTTGGTTGCATAAAATAGTTCCTAGAAGCTGAAGAAATACAAGTAGTCCTCCCCTTATGACTGGACATTTAATGACCATTGAAAATTACACTTTGGGAAGAAAAAAACAGTTACAACTTGTTTCTGAAGTGCCTAAATTGCACCGCCCTCCCTCCCAGGTCATGTGACCACACTTTAGATGCCCCACAACGTGGTTGCATTTATGGCCATTTGCAGCATCCCATGGTCATGTAACTGTGTTTTATGATGGTTTTGCCAAAATAGTTCCATAGCAGGCAATGGGCTCACTTAACAACTGCAATGTTTGTTTCTTGACTGCTGCAGTCTGGTTGTCTAAAAAAAAACAAAAAACCCCAAACAAATTAAAATCAGGTTGGTTGCCTGTCCCATTTCATGACCATCATGACATATGACCATGATCGGCAAACTCCATTACGGTCATATGTCAAGGAGGGGATATTGAATGCTGGCCATGTGAAGTAATTGGCATAAATCTTGCAGGTTTGGATTTTCTAAATACATGCAGATGGATCCACCAGAAGATGAATCAAAAATACAAGGTATGTATCTTTATGTCAGATGTGGAAGCTAGCTTTATCCTTCTCCCTCTTATGCTTTAAGTCTGATTATTGATTAAAAATGCATTAGCATTTAGCATTAGATTAAATCTAATTATCTAGTCTAGCATTGTGATGCCAGTCATGATATATCGTGAGTATATAGATAGCTGGGGAAGGCATTTGTAGATTACATCCAGCACCTTTAAAATAGATACATGGGACGCATTATCTCTTATTAAATGAGCAACACAGGGTTTTTTTCAGCACTTCAGTTTTGTACTCAATACAACCATAGCTGTCTCCTACTTTCCTCAACACTCTTAGAAAAAAATTATGCATCTCTTAGCTTAAGAAACAATAGCTCTTTCAGATGGGATTGAAGCAAGAAAGTGAGCAATGAAGGTTAACTTTGTTGCTTAGTGAAAATAAGACAAAATAACAAGACACAAGGTATGCAATTTTATTATTATTTTTTAAATAATATGTTATTGGTGAAACCTAGCTACTAGAAGATATGATGAAGTATATCCAGAAATATGTGACTGGTAATAGAACCAAAAGAATAGCAATGAAATGAGAGACATTTGAAGAAACTAAAAATATATTCATGAAGTGTTAAGGTAGAGCTAGCTCAATGGTTAAATATATTATTAAATCTAGCCATGTAGGCCATCTGTTCCTCCTAGGTTTCGGTACAATTTGTTATTTCAGTACGATGATATTTATGTAATATACTTAGAGCAAGGATGTCAAACTCAATTCCATTGAGGGTCACATCAGGGTTGTGTTTAACCGCAGGGAAGGTGGCCAGGATGGGCGTGGCCAGCTCGACATCACTCATGTCGGGGCGCCTGTAGGGACTTCCTGCAGTGCTCTGCCAGTGAAAATGGAGCCCAGCCCTCCCAAGCTGTGTTTTCACTGGCAGAGGCACCACAGGCTGGTCCTTCACTGCTTCCAGGGCAGCCGTGAGGGCCAGATTTAAGCACCCGATAGGCCGATCAGGCCCGTGGTCCTTGAGTTTGACACCCCTGACTTAGAGGTTTAATGTTCAATGATTTAGGTGCCTTACAGTACTATAATTCCTTTCAGCTTATGAAGAGGACAGTTTTGATGAACCTCAATATGCAGATCCAGAAACAGCAAAGATAAAGCCTGAAAAAGTCCACCTGGCAACTGATCGCTATAACAATGTTTATGCCAATTCGGTTCAGAAACATCGGAATATCTTGTCAGTTACCCAAAACAGGCAGAAGACAGATGAGAAGAGAGACAAAACCAAAGCAGAAAGTCATTCTACCACAAGGACCTCCCATCTGATATTCAGCACAAACTTTCAAAACCTTCCCGATCAGGACAGGAATGTCCGCAGATCAACAACCAAAAGGAAAGTAGGAGGCAAGGATTTGCAGACTGACAAAAGACCCGAGGTGACTAAGGAACGTGGGAATTCAACAAGAGAAGCCAGTCAAGCTCAGTTAGGCTTCAATGCAACCAGAAACCAGAAAGTGTCATTGAATACCAGCAAAATTGGAAGGGATCCCCAAAAAGTTGAAGAGGAAACTGGCAAGAGAACCCCCCGAGAGCAGCCTATGCATGAAAACCAATGGCTTAAGCAAGTGGATTCCTACATAGCCCGACATAAAGCCGCAGATGCCGCTAACGTCATTATCGATAGGAGAGATTTAGATTCCAAGCAGCAAGTGAGGACTGATTCTTCCCACCAAGCAACCCACAAGGAAGAGCATGTTACAATGGTGGAAGAAGAAAATGAAGAGGAAGAAGAAGCAGAAGAAAACGATGATGACTTATTCGCTGCTCCTCCTCTTTTCTATGACCCAGTAGTAAATTGGAAGCAGACTTTCAAGGCCAGAAATGTAGACTTCCAAGCTCTACGGTCAGACCGGATTGATTTGAAGTGTAACACTTCTGGGAACCTGCTCTTACAAGAGAAGGAGGCCGGCATGGTTGTTCAAGTATTCCTTAAAAAGCTGAACCAGAAGACCAAAGGGTAAGATGGAAGGGATCTTGCAGCCACTCTAATCTTTACAGAAGGTAGTACTACAGAACAGGAGTAGACAACATAAAATGAGATTTCATTATGCATTCTATAGGCCTAAATTAATAGTTAGGAATAACTCCGGATCTCAATGTGATGATGTTTTGTTAAAGTCTAGGAAGTAAGGGATGTAGAGTAAGGGTCTTTATTTTTGTTTCTACTATTCAGATATTTCTAGTTGGCAGACCAAGATAAGATAAGATAACTTTTAGTATCATTTTTTACTGTAAGCAAAAATGAAATTCTGTTGCCTGCTCTCAAAAGAAAGTATATACTACCCATACCTATACATACACACATATAAACATGCTACATACATATACATACATAGATTAGAGTAGAGTGTAGTGTAGTGTAGAGTAGAATAGAACAGAACAGAACAGAACAGAACAGAACAGAACAAAACAGAATAGAATAGAATAGAATAGAATAGAATAGAATAGAATAGAATAGAATAGAATAGAATAGAATAGAATAGAATAGAATAGAATAGAATAGAATAACAGAGTTGGAAGGGACCTTGGAGGTCTTTTAGTCCAACCCCTTACTTAGGCAGGAAACCCTACAGTACTTCAGACAAATAGTTATCCAATCTTTTCTTTAAAACTTCCAGTGTTGGAGCATTATTTTACAACTTTTGAAAGCAAGTTGTTCCACTGATTAATTGTTCTATCAGGAAATTTCTCCTTAGTTCTAAGTTGCTTCTCTCCTTGATTTGTTTCCACCCATTGCTTCTTGTCCTGCCTTCAGGTGCTTTGGAGAATAGTTTGACTCCCTCTTATTTGTGGTAGCCCCTGAAATATTGGAATACACACACACACACACACACACACACACACACACATACCTTGAGAGATTTTCACAGCTAAAAATCTCAAATCGTATAGCCAAATCTCACCGCTAAGTAGACAAAACAGCGATATACAGTTGCAACAAGGGTGCTGATTTTAGGGGCAAAACAGTCAATTAGACAATAGTTGAATCATGAGATGCTGAATGCCAAAGCAAATAAAAAGTTGGAGCACATGCCCCATTTTAACAAAGCCAGCGCATGTTTTTATCTGTTGCATGATGATGGGAATATTATCATGCATCAAGATAATATAATGGAAGTCTTAGGGATATCTGATGATCTTTAGTAGTCCAAACCGAACTAAATCAGGCAGAAAATGCAGGGAAGATCTTTGCTGAGCATCAGGGCAGTGGAGCTATGCTTGGTGGGCTCCATCCCCATCCCTAACCTCAAAATCTAAACTAGAGTGCTCCCATTTCCAGGCGGTTCCAGTTAGAGCGCATTGTGAATGTGGAGAAGCGTCAAGACTACCTAAGGGGCAGCCGTTACTTTCTGGAGCTGGAACTGTTGGAGCAGGGAAAACGCCGAGTCCGGTTCTCAGAATACGTCTACGCACGTGGCTGGCATGGGGGCAGCAGCAGAGAGGAGGAAGCCAATATGAAGGAGTTGGCGTGGGGCCACCGACGTCACCTGATGACCAGCAAGGATGAGCCTGTGCTCTGCTGGCCGTTAAGCTTCTTATGGAACCCCCGTGCGGTTGTCCACTTTATAGTGCCCGGTAATGGGACAGAATTGATCTCTTTAAATGAATGGAATGTTGTGTGCATTGCTAGAAAGACAGCTGGGAGAACAATAGACTTAGGCATCCTCCCTGTTAACTAGGAGTAATTATATTTATGGAATAATTGGTACTCGGTGAGCTTGGTGTCAACCCCTGGTTGTCTTATAAATCAGATTCTCCAACTGAGCATATTCACAGGCTGGGTGTCATCATTCATGTTCTCCAATTAAATATATTCGCTGGAAAAATCTCTGGTATTTTAGTTACAATCTTTTAAAGATAAAGAGTTGGAATGTACGTTCACTTCGCTGCAATGCTCTTCCAGATTTCCTTCCCCCCCACTTTTTTTTTCCTTCTTTTTATGGCAACTACAAAAACAGGCATAGGAATGTTTTATGAATTGACACTTTGTGGTTTTCTTGAAAGAATACTACCCAGCTCAAAGAGCACCAAGGACGCTACAGTTCAACCATGAACTACAGATATTCTCTTCTATCAGAAGATTGAATATTGAATTGCTGTTCAAAATAAGAGAATGAAAGGCCTCTCCCACAATTTGTTCCTAGATTTAACTCGTCATAATTTATGTTAGATTTACATTCGGCAACTCCAATATTCTTGTAAATGCTGCTGTCTCTTTCCTGTTCTTCCAATGTCATAAATACTCGGGATTCTCTTGCAAATGATATAGGGCAAATATTAATAGACTTATATATCGCTTCACAGTGCTTTACAGCCCTCTCTAAGTGGTTTACAGAGTTAGTATATTACCCACAACAATCTGGGTCCTCGTTTTACCCACCTCGGAAAGATGGAAGGCTAAATCTCAACCTTGAGCCTGGTGAGATTCGAACTCCTGGAGTGAGCAGTGAGTAAGCCTGCAGTACTGCATTTTAACCACTGCACCACCATGGCTCTTTAAACTTTAGATATTAGTACTGAGCAGAGGTGGTATTCAGCAGTTTCTGACCAGTTCTGGAGAACCGGTAGCGGAAATTTTGAGTAGTTTGGAGAACCAGCAAATACCACCTCTGACTGGAAATTTTGCAATATCCTTCCCCTGCCATGCCCACCAAGCCACGCCCACAGAACTGGTAGTAAAAAAATTTGAATCCCACCACTGGTACTGAGCCATCCTAGTATTTGGATACTTGGTATCTGACTATTTGTCGCACTAAAAATATGCAGAAAATACATTTAAAACTCGATAACACAATAACTCTCATCACACCCCAAAGAATTTTGAAAATATATTTTTTCAGTTTTGTCCAGATTACAATATCACCCAAAGCTCCAGGGAGAAATCATGCCAGAGGCTGACCCACGGACGGAAAAGTAACATTTCCAGGGCAATGCATTTTGCACCATTTAAAGTAGGGGTGTCCAACCTTGGCAACTTTAAGACTTGTGGACTTCAACTCCCAGAATTCATCAGCTGGCTGAGGAATTCTGGGAGTTGAAGTCCACACATCTTAAAGTTGCCAAGGTTGGACACCCCTGATTTAAAGCATCCCCTGTAAAGTCTGATGCTTTAGCTTCATCTGGTTGTAATGAAAGTGTGAGGCAGTGCCAGTTTTTTTTTAAAGTCTCAAGCAGTGGTGGGATTCAAATAATTTAACAACCGGTTCTCTACTCTAATGACTGGCTGGGTGGGCGTGGCCATGGTGGGCGTGGCCAGGGGGTGTGACAGGTAGTACTCTTGTACCCCTCCGGGAGCAAAAACAGGCTGTGGGGGGGGCACCACAACCCCCGTGCCCCGTTTTGGTCCTAGTAGGCCTGCCTGCACTTGCCTGGGAGCCCAAACAGGGCGTGTGGGAACCCCTGGAAGGGGCAGGGTGGGGAGGGGAGGGGCCAGCAGCAATTTAACAACTGGTTTGGCCAAAGTGGTGTGAACCAGTTGAATTCCACCACTGGTCTCAAATGAGGTCGCAACTGGCACATCAGCTGAAGCTGGGCACAGCCCCACTAGGCCGTGATCCCCACATGCTGATTTAACGGGAGCTGCAAACACTGTATTATACATCAAGGTAGCCCTTGAATTAGGAACACAATTGAGCCCAAAATTTCTGGTGCTAAACGAGACTGTTGTTAAGTGAGCCTGGCCCCATCTTACAACTTTTCTTGCCATCGTTGTTACGTGAATCACTGCAGTTGTTGAGTTAGTAACATAGTTGTAGAGTGAATCTGGCTTCCTCATTGACGTTGCTTGTCAGAGGACACAACAACTGTCACAAATACACGCCAGTTGCTAAGAGTCTGAATTTTGATCTCACGACTGTGGGGATGCTGCAACCATTGTAAGTGCGAAAAATCTCTTTTTTTCCCAGTGCCGTTGTAAGTTCAAATGATCACTAAACGATAGGTTGTAAGTCAAGGATTATGCGTATAAAGTATTGAATTTGGCACTAAGCCTTGTGCCTAACCTTGTACCTGGGGCACCTCGGTCCAATCTTAATGCTGGTTTTCCTTTGATTCTCTTCTTTTCCTTCTTCTCCCAATCAGTGAAAAATCAGGCCCGCTGGGTGAAGCAGTTCATTTTTGACATGGAGGAGTTATTTAGGATTACTAAGGACCCCTATTTCAATGTCATCATCGTAGACTACAGCAGTGATGACATGAATATAGAAAAAGCTCTGAAACAGTCAAGCTTGCATAGGTAAGGATTTGTTTCCTTTAAGAAATGTGTTTTCAAATAGAAACAGAAGTCACCATATACCAAGTCTATAAAGAGTTGATGCAGTAATGAAACTTATTAGTTAAAGATGTTCCAACTGGCTTCTAAGGGTATACATTTCTCTCTTATCACCCATTTCCATTCTGGAGCACTGGGTTAAATCACTGCAGGTACAAACCAGTTGGGAGTTTCTTGTTGAATTTGAAATAAGGACACCCTAAACCCAAAGCAAGGGTAATAGATTTATGCATGATTAACTCAGCATTTAGATTCATCTCTAAAAATGATCAAGTATTTATTGAGAAGTCCAAATTTTACAAGATCATAAAGATGTTCAGTGAAATCTCATCATATCTATTAGGATTTTAGCTATGTTATAAATTGTTGATGTTTGAAAAAAAAACTTACTTTTGTCCTAAAGTCTTCATTTGAGTCACCCAGTTCATTCTATCTATAGTTGATTCCTTTCACTTGTAACATTTCACTTGCTGTGTTTACTCAGGGTGAGGTGCAGCAAATTTACCTTGGCCGTATTGCACCTTCTTGCTTGTAGGAATGACAAGTCACAACTCTACATTCAGATTTTCATTTTATGGATGGAAGACTGAAATTGAGAAATAGTTTTGTTTTAAAACAGATGCTGATTTGTAACAGATTTGAGAAAGGATTGCAAGAACTTCCATAGCCCACTTTGTCACAATTATTAACTCCATTTTCTCTAACTTTTCTCCAGCTACCAATACTTGCGATTGTCTGGGAATTTTGAGAGGTCTAAAGGTCTGCAGGCTGGCATAGACAAAGTCAAGGTGAGTGGTGAGCATTTGTAATGTAGACTGTTACATGGCTGCAACTATAAGGAAAAGGCATTTAAAGATAATCATCTTTGCACGATGATTTTCAAATAAGATGATTCAGCTGTATTGGCATCTCTGCTTCACAAGCTTCGTTAACTGTTAGTTTGCTTCCAGGTGCATCACTTATAAAGCTCAATCAGGCACATGCCAGGTTAACTGAGGGACTATCTCCCATAGTTTCTGCCTGGCTGTCACACATTGGCACAGTTGGTGTTCTTTGGGTCATTTTCATGAAACAGTGCTATTTATAGGATTCCAGGAAGCATGCCTTCTCTGTCACTGATTTCCTGCTGAAAACCATGTGTGTTGTGACTCGGAGGTTTGAGCCTGCTCTGTTAGAAGACACAGACTTGAGCAATGAGGAAGAGGAGGATTTGGCTCTAAGGTTTGAGCCTGCTTTGCTGGAGGATTTGGAATTGCCTTCCTCCCCAGGACCTTCCTCCCTGGTTGTGCCTCAGGTGTCGGCAGATAATCAGGAGAGCGTAGCGGAGCCTCTGGCTGAGGATCAAACTGAGGAATGTTGGTTTGATGCGAAGCAAAGACGCAGGCATAGGCGTGAGATGCAACGTAGAACGAAAGGACAAATTAGGGACTGAGATGAGAGACTGACACGCCCCTCAGGGAATAAAAGTGGGCGTGTTAGCTCTGGATTCTCGTTCGGGACAATTTGTTAATTTGGGATAGAAGCTTCCACAAATTCTGTGTGTGGCGTTTGCCTGTGATTTATGTTCTTGCTTTATTATCGGACTTGGCAGGCAGCTTGTGGGAGACTGCCAAGGACTTCTCCAGCCAAAGGAATTTAACCCTGTCATTACTGGTCTTGTCTGCTTGTTTATATTCCTTTGGAAACCTGGACTCTCACCTCGTGGGCACAGGTGAGACATAACAATGTGGCTACCACCTAATTGGTATTCCATCAAGCTTTGAAGCTCTGGAGGTTCTCCCAAAATTTGGGTTAAGGTCAGTGGTGGGATTCAAGTAATTTAACAACCGGTTCTCCGCCCTAATGATTTCTTCCAACAACCAGTTCAACAAACTGCTCAGAAAGTTAACAACCAGTTCTCCCAAAGTGGTGTGAACTGGCTGAATCCCACCACTGGTTAAGATGGATGGAATCCTTTGTGTTTCTGGCTATGTTTTTGTATAAAATGGTCAGATCCCACTGTGTTTTGTTCTATACTGTATTTTTATTGTTTATCATACTTTGAGCTTCCCAGAGACAGTTGGCAGTCTGATGGCTCATGAATTGAATAAAATCAAATGAATAGATAGTTCTTTTTAAAAAGATGATGTTTAGAGACAATCAGTTATTCAGAAAAAGATTGGAAAATGGGGGAAGTTTTCTAAGGAAAAGAGAAAAGGCAATGGATAAACTAGAGAAAATTAACCTTAACATTTAATTTAATTAAATGTTTAATTTAATTTTCAATGTTAATAATATTTCAGCAATTAAGAAAGAAATGGAAAAAAATTGCTTCAAGTTTTCTCAACACAATTTCTGCATTTTTCAAGAGATGCTTGTCCTGTGATGGGATCCTGTACATATGGGAATATTTGACAGATCTATATTTCTATACTGGAACAAAACCAATAGAAAAGAAATGAAATATTCTCTTCAGGAGTCAGAGCAGAAATAACCCTAGAGGTATAGAAGGCCTATGGCCTAATTGGAAGAGATGATTCTGCAGAGTGGCAGCCTCACCAGCCTCCCTAAAGCTTGATTTAGATTTGTCCACAACTGCACATAGGCATCAATGCATAGCTACACTGGAAAAGGATTGATAGGTAAGCATCGGTTGCAAATAGTAGAAAACAGGCCAATGTGCACAGATCTCAAATCCCGATCTGCACATGTCCTGCATGCTAACCACTTGATCCTAATTCCTCTTGGTGCTTTGTTGTTCTAGTGCCCCTTGGCCAGAACATTAACATTCCGAGAAATATAAATGCAACAGCCATGCAACCTTCTCTGAATGATGGTTCCGTGATGTGCAGTGATGGAGAAGTCTAACACAGCCTTCAGATCCTTC